GGCGCAATATGGTTCATGGGGTCACGAAGAGTCGGACACGACTTAACGACTAAACAACAGTCATCCTTGATGGTGTGTCTAAAATATATCTCATTGGGGAGGAGTGCACATATTTCAGGAAAAAAGCTACAAAGCTGAGTATCATTGGCATAAAATTTGGCCGTTAAATCTAATTGTGTAAGTAGGCAACCAAGAGAGAAAGGGAATACAAAGAAGCAAGGATAGAATCTCAAACAGCCTTGCAGCTACTGAAATTATGGTACTGACCTGACAGGTCTGATCCTCATGGATCCTTCCCAGTAGCAGGAAGCTGCTGGGCAGAACATTAGACATTCTGTCAGTGGGTACAGAGAGAAATCTTTAATTATTCCCCAATCCTTAAAAAAAAAAAAAAAAAAAAATCTCAATTTACAAATTATGTTCATGTATTTATACTATCGTTTTATTGCTTGAACACTTCAGACCATCTCAGTAGCCATTACCCAGTAACATAAACCATTATTCATTTCATTTCTTTCTACACAGCTCTTCCTCCCAGAACATTAACATTGTACTTGGGGGTAGAGATGGAGCTAAAGCTTATAGCATATAAACCAAGTTGTACATCAATTCATAGGTAGGGCAATATTTGAAGCAGAGGCTTAGTGTCATTCTTTTACCAATGATGCATCATAAAGCTCATGGCACAGTTGTTAAGATGCCACAACATTTTTTGATGATGAGCCAGAACACCATGTTCTCTGAGGTTTCCTTGGCAACAACTGTAATTAATTTCTTCCTCCTCCTTTGAAAGAGATGAACAATCACTCTTTCCAAAAAACGGCTACATGGAGCTGACTTGGGTGACCCTAAGTTGTGTTTTTTTTTTTTTTTTGGTTATCTTTTAATTCTGGATAATCCATCATCTCTATGATTTACACTTCCTTCCAGCCTAGTGGTACTTAATTGTTAGCAACAGAGGTGATTACAAGTCCTTTTGTAAGGGTGGGGCAGCCAAGAGGAAGCTATTGCTTCACCTGTCAGAACATCTAGGTGAGTGGACACAGGTTGGCCAAGACTGAAACCTCTCTAGTTTCACTACTCAGGTTCAACGCCATTTCAGGGATTCTGCTGGTTTCCATCCATGCAGCTTAAATCAGCATTTGTATATCCCTATAATGGAAACACATTTTATTGCATAGATTTTTTCCATTGTCTCTCCAATACAATTTTCATGAGTGAAGCATTGTTGTTCAGTTCAGCCGTTTTCCATTCTTTATGATCAAATGGCTAAGATTCTCTGTCCGGTATTGTGCAAAAAAAGTT